TGAATGATCTACATGATTCTGCAGAACTTTTAAGACCTGCTGAAGAGCAGGAAAACATCTAACGCATGCAGGACTGTAGCCCTGAAGGACTAGGATTGGACACCCCTGGTCTAGCCCAACAGCATTTTCACTTACATTTAAAACATTTGAACAGTATTGTGTACACATTAAACCCTCGTAATTTGCAGGGGTTTGTTCTCAAAAGAAAAACCTGAACAAAATCCAGAGGATGTTTGCGGTAAAATGTGTGGGYTTCTGCAAACAGTTATTAGTTAGGTTCTATAAAGTGCAGGGTTTGCTTTGAAAGTTAGAAAGTTGGATTTATCATAATATGTATTTGTTTTAAACTGAACAGTAAGTTCAGTCAAAAATAACAAAACTGCTCAGGCTTTTGTAGAATATCATCATTAAAAAAATTAAAATAGATTCTTATTTTTCCAAAGGCATATAGAAGATATATTGTACAAAAATGGTCAAGATCCTCACTGGTTTTAAGTGAAACTAACAGGCAAGTTCATAAATGGGGATTCAAATAAGCTCAAACTTGAACATCTGTTTTACAAATTCATTTCAATCAGACAGATGTGAGAAGGATGGTGATTGAATCTGATCACTAAACCGTTGCTACTTGTTTAATGACTGGTGTATTTTAAGCTATGCCTTAAGTAGAAGTACAAATGAATTAATTTTGGTTTTGAAGAATTGTTTTGTTTGTTGAAAGAGAAAACCAATCCCAGTAATCAGAGCTATATTTAGAAACACACATTAGCTGTTTCACCAGCAGATCAAACAACATTCTTTGCCTGCATGTGATCTAAATCAACAAACGGAGTCCATGCACACCTACTCTTTGCAACTTCTTTACAGCCGAATGAAATACAGAGTTTTTGCTTCAGTGTTTTAGTTGTTTTTGTCAACTTTGTGGAAACCGTTCATCATTCTGACCTGCTTTTTCCGTACCTCCCGCAAAAGACGAACGTGTGCGTTCACGTCTCAGAACGCTGATGTCATTTGTAGCACTTCTTTTGACATTTAGTGTGTTTTGAGAAATATATCAACAACTGTTAGAGCAGTAGCAGACTGAAGGGGTTGATTACACAATCAGAAACCACTTTTAATTGGAATCAACAAAAACGTTCACTGGAAAACACGAAGAACTCTGTAGCTGACGTGTTTCATTTTATTGCTATAGAAATGAGAACAAAATTAATTTAGTGAGTTGTTTGTTGGGAGGGAGTTTTCAGCTTGGCTTTATGCAAGGTGAGCTGCTTTTGTAACAACTTTCAAATTTAGCAAAAAGTTTGAGTGTTATTGTTTTGTGATTGTTTAAAATCAGCTCCATGCAACTTTTCCTTTTATTTTGTCATAAATGTTAAAACTATGATAATCTAATACAAAAGTGGCAAATTTATTTAAAGCTGCATGTTTTTACATATTTTAAATGGCAGTTATTGATGAAAACACCTGCGTTCCAGTTCTCCTACACTACAAATGTTAGGATGAACAGTAAAATAAAAAAATAAACGAATTTGTAAATCAAACAAGACTCATTACGAATGGATGGAAATTAAATAAATCTCTAGAAGACCCACCGTGGTCATCAAATCCTTTGTAGTTTTCTAAACTTTTCACTTAACATATAGCTCAGTTAAACAAAACATTTTAACCATATTTTTGCATTATTTCTATTTAACACTTCAGTCATTAAAATGTTGGACTATATTAAAAAAATCTGATTACTCATTAACGCACTTCAACTGTTCAGTTTTCTAAAACAAAACGTTCACATTTTATCTGATTTAAAAACAAAAGGCACACTTGTTGACTTGTAATGGAATGCAGTCTTGTAGAAAATCTCTCAAAGAATGGCATCAGAAGCAGAACGATGTGTTTTTCTTTGCCGTTGGGTTTCCTGACCGTGAGTTCTAGAAAGGTTCTGTGGGAGGAATGAGGAGAAAATGGGGGAGTTGGTGGCAGGAATATTTCCTCTTATCACTTATGGTTAGGTCACACCTCTGTGTTTAGATTTTTTTATGGTTTTTAATTCCCTGCATCTGCCCGAAACAGCCTCCAAATATTTTGATTGAAATGACTAAAGGTTCTGCCTAACAACAGATCGACCCGTCAGAGGCTGCTGACAGTCATCGGGAGTCTGTTGGCCTGTATGGGTGAGGTAAACTGAGCTATTTTGTATGACTGGCAGGCTCATCTTGGCGACATACAATGAGAAGACCTCATTTCATATAATACATGTGAAAATAACGTGCACACACTCACCTATACATGAGCACAAATGTGGTGTGTAGGCGGTGAAAGCACAGGATGTGTGGTACGGGGGCAGGAAGAGGAGAAGGAGCTGAAAAAGTGTGTGTGTGTTCAGCAGGAGAGCCCCTGCTTTAAGTCTGCCTGCTGCTAATGTAATGCCAGTAGGATCTGCTTTACATCCTCAACACTTAAGAACATTCAGACTAATAATTTATTGCATTAAAACAAAACATTCAGGATCTTTTTTTTTGTAGTTTTCTGTTTCTCGAGTTTCTACCTTGAGACAAACCACGTAGCATCTATAAAAAACAAAATTTGAAGTTATAGTTCCTGTTTTATGCACTCTAAATTATTTTCAAACCATTACACACATTCCAAACATGTTCCAACACACTGAAATTGTTATGTGTGCGATTTGATTGAACGCTCTAATTTTACGAACTCCCTGAACTCTTCGCTGTCTCAAAGTCTTGGGTTGTTCAGATTTATTTTTGGTAGTTTAGTCGATTTTGGTGTCAGGAAGCAAAGTGGGCTCAGTTTAAGCTCAGTGACTTGTTTCTGCTGAACTCAAATTTTCAGCTCTGTCTTCACTTGAAGTAAACCTTCTTGTGGTTTGGGTCTTAGACCTATCCTGTCTGTTTTATGTGGTCAGAGGATTTTCAGTACGCTAAATCAAACATGTTTATCTGTGAGAAAATAGCGAAGTGAGAAAACTAAAAAACAACGCACTTTCCCTGAGATTTGAAGTTAATTCAACACTTATTTTTCATTAAGTTGACAAAGTTTTTCAGAATTCTTTGTTTTGCTGTCTCTAAATTTACAAACTTGATTAAATAAGTGTGTTGTATACAGCAAGTAAAATAAGTATTGAACATGTCAACATTTTTCTCAGTAAATATGTTACTAGAGGGGCTAATGACATGAAATGTTCACCAGATATCGGTAACAACCCAAGTGATCCATACATACAAAGAAATCAAACCATAAATGTCCAGAAATGAAGTTATTTGTAATAATGTGGAATGGCACAGGGAAAAAGTATTGAACACATTTACTGAAATTTATCCAATATTTTGTACAAAAGCCTTTGTTGGCAATGACAGCTACAAGACGCCTCCTGTATGGAGAAGCCAGTCGCATGCATTGCTCAGGTGTGATTTTGGCCCATTCTTCCAGAAGAAAGGGAGGTGTAAAAAGGCATGGAAAGCCAAGACACCAGCTGAACTCTCTCAGTAATTAGATAGAAAGCCTGCCCCTTGTCAGTGCAAGTTAATATCAGCTGGTTCAGTCCCAAATGATGGCCAGGTATCACACAAGAACCATCTGATGATGGGTAAAAGTAAAGAGCTCGCTCAAGACCTTCACAACCTTATTGTTGCAAAGCATAATGATGGCATCGGTTACAGAAGAATGTCTAAACTTCTGAAGGTTCCAGTGAGCACTGTTGGGGCCATAATTCAGAAGTGGAAAGAACATTATTTCACCATAAACCGACCACGACCAGGTGCTCCTCGCAAGATTTCTGACAGAGGAGTGAAAAGAATTATCAGAAGAGTTGTCCAAGAGCCAAGGACCACTTGTGGAGAGCTTCAGAAAGACCTGGAATTAGCAGGTACGATTGTTTCAAAGAAAACAATAAGTAATGCACTGAACCACCATGGCCTGTATGCACGCTCACCACGCAAGACTCCACTGCTGAAGAAACAGCATGTTGAAGCTCCTTTAAAGTTTGCTGCACAACATTTAAACAAGCCTGTGTAATACTGGGAGAATATAGTCTGGTCAGATGAGACCAACATTGAACTGTTTGGATGCCAGAATACACATCATGTTTTGAGGTCAAATGGTACTGCACATCAGCCCAAAAACACCATACCAACAGTGAAGTTTGGAGGTGGGAACATCATGGTGTGGGGCTGTTTTTCAGCATATGGTACTGGCAAACTTCAAATAATTGAAGGAAGGATGAGTGGAAAAATGTACAGAGACATTATTGATAAAAATCTGCTCCCATCTACCAGGATGATGAAGATGAAACGTGGCTGGACATTTCAGCAAGACAATGAGCCCAAACACAAAGCCAAGGAAACTCTCAGTTGGTTTCAGAGAAAGAAACTAAAGCTGCTGGAATGGYCCAGCCAATCACCTGACCTGAATCCAACAGAAAATCTATGGAAAGAACTAAAGATCAGAGTTCATAGAAGAGGTCCACGAAACCTTCAAGATTTGAAGACTGTTTGTGGAAGAATGGGCCAAAATCACACCTGAGCAATGCATGCGACTGGTTTCTCCATACAGGAGGCGTCTTGAAGCTGTCATTGACAACAAAGGCTTTTGTACAAAGTATTAGATAAATTTCAGTAAGTGTGTTCAATACTTTTTCCCTGTGCCATTCCACATTATTACAAATAACTTCATTTCTGGACATTTATGGTTTGATTTCTTTGTATGTATGGATCACTTGGGTTGTTACYRACATCTGGTGAAAATTTCATGTCATTAGCACCTCTAGTAATATATTTACTGAGAAAAATGGTGACGTGTTCAATACTTATTTTACCCACTGTATGTGCAAAGTTTCAAATTGTGGATGTATCAGCATCAAAAGAATAATATGATTTTTTAAATATATAAATACATATATCCATATTTCTTGTTTCCAATCTGCTCACTTTTTCCAAAGCAGTGGATGCCTCTTGTTTGACTCACTACTGTCTTTGTCTTTGACTCTGCAGTCGACATTCGAGAGATTAAAGAAATCCGTCCTGGCCAGAAGTCTCGGGATTTTGATCGCCATGGGGATGACTCGTCAATACGGGTCGAACCAGCTTATTGCTTTGTTATTTTGTATGGGACAGAGTTTCGCCTTAAATCCCTCAGCCTCGCAGGTAAGTAGTCAATTTCTATTTCTCTAAATTTTCTTTTCTGTTTTGATTAGTAAGCTTCTGTGCTTTTTTGTTTTTACTATTTGCAATACTTATATTTACGTAAATGTAGAATATAATCACATTTCCCCGCCTTCACTCAAATGCCAAATTGTTATTTTCAGCAACATCTGATGAAGAAATGACCATGTGGGTGAAAGGGTTAGGCTGGCTTGTGGCCGACACTCTGAAGTCACCAACACCGCTTCAAATAGAACGGTAATCGTAAAAATACAAAACGATATTTAATAATGGAAAGAAAACTGTCGATGTTTCATTTAGAGATGATGGTGTTGAGATCTGTAGAGTCAGTGAGGTGAAGTTTTTGGGTGTTATCATTGATGAAAAGCTGACATGGAGACCTCACATAAATTATTTAAGAATAAAACTAGCTAAATGTATTGCATTGCTGTATAAAGTAAGAGAGTTATTCAATGATGAAGCTCTGTATATGTTGTATAATGCAACAATTGTTCCACACTTAATTTATTGTATTGAAGTCTGGGGGAAAGCATGTAAAACAATTACAAATCCTATTTTTGTTGTCCAGAAAAGAGTTGTAAGAATTATCACTAGAAAACACTACAGTCACCCATCAAATACATTATTTTATCAATTGAAATTATTGAAATTCTGTGATTTGGTTGATTTATATGTTACAGGTTATGTATAAGGCTCACAAAAGCATATTACTTTTAAACATCCAATTAAAATTTCTTAAGACAAAGAGTTGTTACAATCTTAAGGGGATAGAGATGTTTGTGAAAACAAAAATTCAAACCAGTTTGAAGGAGCAGTGTACCTCAATCCAAGGAATAAGACTGTGGAATAATCTGGAGAGTGATGTTGAAAATGCCAGAACAACGTTTATGTTTAAGAGAATGATAAAAGTTGGTTTGTTGAAGAAGTATGAAATAGTATAATGTATATTTACATGAATTGTTGTTTGAGAAGAAGGTGATGATGTTTTTGTTATTTGTAGATTGTTATTGTTTGAATAGTTTTTTTTTTGTTTTTTTTTTTGGTTAAGAAGGGGTGGGGGCAGCTATTATACATTTTTTTCTTCTTTCTGCTGCCATTCATTTTCTTTGTTTTTTTTTCATTGTATATTTAATTTATTTTATTTAAAAAATTAATAGAATGATAACAACATGCATCACAAACAACACTTAAGCTACTGTTAATAGACTTTAGTTTTTATTTCATTCCTAACTATTGATTCCTTTTATTTTTTTATAACTTACATAAAATTTCTTATTTTTTTAGGTGGTTACGCAAGCAGTTCTATGCAGTTGACCGCAACAGAGAGGACAGGTAAATTACACTTGGACCTAATCCTAACATCTTCATAAAGGTGCATTAATATAATTAGTGGGAACTCACTTCCCAGCACACAGTTAGCATCAGCTTGGCTTGCTGGACCCAGCTGGTAGGTGTTTGTGAGCRAGCTTATTTGAGGTGTAGAGAAGGAACTGACCTGAGAGCCACACAYGCCAGTCATGCTTCCTGCAGCAGGAAACAGACTGCAGAGAACCAAGGAGCTGTGCAGAGATGTTTGACTGTAACACCCCTGCCTTTGTTGTTTTTAAAATATTATTATTATTATTATTTTGTAAATGAAGGACGGTGTAATTTCATGCCAAAAAATTCCAAACTGTGTGGTGGAACTTAAGCTAAAAAGGTCTGTGTACTTTTTGGTCATTTGTTGTTCGTTTTAAAACCAGATATTGAAAAACAAAAAACAGACAGTTAATCTATTTTCATTTTGTATTTAAAAAAATGCTTATTTATCTTGTTGTCAGACTAGCTAGCTCCACCCTCAGTGGTCTGAGATGGACAGTGTTAATTTACGGTTTGATAAAAATAAAAAGACCACCGTTTTCCCTTCTATTTCTTTTTTTCCTTTTTAGTATAATATGAAAATAGAATAATCATCCGTTTTTCGATATGTTTTAAAAATGAAAATCGAATGAGCAAAAATTATTAACCGAACGACTCGTGTCTGTTTCCAAAGTTTCAGCTCTCCTGTAAAAATGTCATTTACATCTGGTAGGAAAGTGTCTGTGTTTGCAGGCCTTCGCACGTATTAATGTTTAATGTTTTCTTTCCACAAAATGTGCGTGTGGGTTTTAGGATATCCTGTAAGGATCTGAAGAATATGCTGAGCCAGGTCAACTACAAGGTGCCAAACATGAGGTTCCTCAAAGAGAAACTTCCGGTAACCTCCTTCCACTTATCACAGAGCCCCACTCCATTTCCCTGCCTGCTTCCTTTTCACCATTCTGCTGTTGGGGGCTAAAGATTTACAATCTCTCATTAATGCCACTCTTCCGCCCCCCACTCTTGTTTTAGGACTCAGAGATGAGGAACGGTGATGTGTCCTTTAGCCAGTTTGCCCAGCTGTACCGTAACCTCATGTTTGATGCTCAGAAAAACGTAAGTGTAGTCATTTTATGTACACACAGATAAACTCAGCTCTAACCCTGTCTGATGTCCTGCCATGTCCCACTTCACCCCCCATCTGTATGTTCTCAAATGGCTGCAGGATCAATATGCACCAGTTAAAACCCACCGACCCTCTCTAGTGGAGGCCATTAGGACACACTTCCACATGTATACACACACACACACACACACACACACAC